AACTGCGGAAAACTGAAAAGAACCGAGCAACTAAATTTCGTACAGATTCTAGAGGCGAAAATAGTACAAATAACTTGGTTGCGAGTGCATGTGAGTTATGCACACAATTGGCCAGCTTAACTGGCACACAACTGAGTCAATTATTTAACTCATTTCATGTCAATAAAATATAATCCTAAATGCAGCAGATTTCTTCTGAATCATGTGCAGTATTTGGTCTACAAATTAAGAACTCGCTGACTTACCACACAAGTTTGCCAGCTTACCGCGTTGTTTGTTTGTTAAACAAATGCCATTAAATTGCCTGGCAGTCGCACAACTATGAATTTTGAATTGGGAAAGTTCCACTGTTTGATATTTGAGCCTATACACTCAAACACAATTTTGATTCGAAATGATTTACGCTCGCACACAAAACGCTTAGTAGCGCATTATTCGAATGCAAACTGCGGCAAACAATGGCATTGTGCGGCAGTCTTTGTGCGGCAATCGCAACAAGAATAATTGACAGCATTTCTGTGGCAACTGTGGCAGTGGCAACTCATTAAGCCAAATACCATGTGGTCTTGCTGCCAGGCTGCCCATGTGCCGAGTTACCACTGTAGGCATATGCGAAATGAAATTTCGCGACATGCATGTGGACTTTGGAATCGCTTAAGTGTCAGAAGTGCGTGCCATCATTTGTCTTTTCATATCTTTTGGCTTTCGCATAAGTATAAATCCCTAAATGCGGCAATTTCCAAGCTGAGACAAGTTTATGTTGAGTGCCAGAGAATATGCGGTGTAAATTGGGCCTATTACAATAGATTGGCATATTCAGGTGCCTGAATAATAATGGCCAACGTTTTATGGTAAGACACTGAATGTTCATACTGATGATGGAAACCACAGCCTGGCTGCAGATGAAATGCAGAACTAAACCACGAATCTACGTACATAGTATAAGCCGACTAATTGTGGTGAATCCATAGGCGGTTTAGGTCCATTGCGATATACTATTACATATATCTTTGTTTATGATGGCCCATTTTTGGTGCGATGAAAACGTGAGCCCTAAGGCGCATAATTAATGATCAAGCGCATTTCATAGGGGCCATTTCTTATGCGAATTCATATTTTCGCTGGTTAATGAAAAAATGTATGCAAGGTTAATTAATTTTAACGAGCTCCAGGACTTTTGCTTCACGGCTGACAAACGACAGGCAATAACAGTAACAATATGAAGTAATAAAAATGCGGCAAACAAATGCTTGTATATATCGTAATTACCAAGTGGTTTTCCATGTTTTCCCAGCGACCTTGTGCCCCAGACTGGTTAATGGAGGGTCGAAAGAAGGAAAAAGCCGTACAAAATGGTCGCCAGCTGGAGTTGAAAATTTGATGTCGTAAATCACACACGTAAATTGTGACACTCGTTAATTTTAACGCTCGAATGTCGCACTCATCTCATCTCGCCTTTTTGTTTGCTGTTTGCTGCTTGTGTTTTTGATGAGTTTGCCACCCGCTGTGAAAAGCGAATCACATTTATCACAGAGATCCGCTTTAAATATGTGTTTCTCACCTAATCTATGACGATTTAAACTTTTTGAGCCAATTAAAATGGAAATGAAATCCGGAAAAGTTGAAAAAACGATTTTGTTGGTGTAAAGAACACCAAAAAAAGAATTTATTTACATATTGATTAACACATTTGAATATTGTATTTTGTAATTTTTTTAAGATTTTGAGTGCTTTTTCTCACTCTTATTGTTAATTTACATGTTTTAATTCCGTTTGCTCCTAGAATTTTCTTATTCAAACTCACTTTGCTTCCATCCAGATATGTGGCGCAAAAACAAAGAAGCAAACTAAATTAATTAGCGACAAAAGATTGTTGCAAGGTGCAACTTTTACCCCTTTTTTCAGGGATATACAAGTTGCAAAGTTTTTCACCTCTAATGAAAAATTTGGGGTTCGCAACGGCAGAAACTATAAATAACAAAATACCTGGGAGAGATCCGCGAAATTTCATTAGAACATTTTCTTAAAATGGAATTGTCGTAAAAGTTTTTGGGTCACATAGCTTCCACTGTGTGTGTGCTTCGTGTACTTGTATTTGTGCATAGATGTGTATGTGTGCGCCAGCATTTTGTTCCACTTGAAAAGTTAAGAAGGGCAACCGCCGTGACCAAAGAAAAGTTGTCGATTGTTTGGTAATTTCTTCTGCCAGCTGCTGTGGCCCAAATGTTACGATGCTATTGCCAAATTAACACTTTAATTTCATTTAATTCACGACAGCAACAATCAATCAATGGGTGCGTATTCTTATGGCTTGAACGCAGTCGATTTCACGTAGTTGGCCGAAAACTTAGTCCCTTTGGGTGATTGATGGTCTAATTGATTGATTACCTCGATGCGTGTCAGGATACCCAGGGGTGTGATAATGACCATTTAAAGTCTATATTTGTATTGTGCTTATGCAAATTTGATTGGAAATGTTTTTACTGACTACACTTTGCATGGCAAATGATGTGCGAGCACAAACAAAAGCTGTTGTTATATAACCCACGGCAAAACAAACACATCTATGCATTGCACATGCATTTGCACTAAAATTTCATTGAAAATAAACATTTAGATAAAAGGCGTAAAATAGAATCCTATACGTTTATTATGTGAATTTGCGTCATAACGCCCACAGAGAAGGCCAATATTGACTGTGCAAAAATATGTTTTGCAGCGAGAGAGAGATTTATCGATGTGTCAGCTTGGAATTTACCGGCTAATTTTCAATTGGTTTTCCTTTGTCCAGCATTGGCTTGGTATTTATTTATAGCCTTGCAATTTGGCTTTGAGCTTATTGAATTCAAATCACCTGCAAGCCACGTTGGTCGAGCCAAACAAAAAACGAAACAACCTCTGTTTAATGCCGCAATTAAAAGACCATTAAGTGCCATAAATCTGTTTGAAATGTAAGTGTAAATGTAATGTGCTCTGCGCATATAGACAGACCCGCATCGAGCTCAACCCTTTAAAGCCGGGTCACACGGCGTATACGCAATACGCAAGCTTGGCCGCTTGCTCGGTTTCACTGCATACTTTGCGGCGCTCCAGTGTAATTAATTACCGATTCTTCTTCGTTGCGGAGTTCAAGTGGAAAAAAGCTACCATACCAGCAACCGAATGCCGCACAAACACCGACATTAATCAAGTTTTGTTGCAAATTAATTTGCCAAAGGTTTCCTTCGGCCTGATAAATTAGTCGCCATAAATTAAGGGCCAGCTGCCGCACACCAAGAACTCATAAGCGGTCGCCTCTCGCATAATTGTCATCAGTCCGTTGAAATTGGCAATCGAATCGAATGCAAGCCAATCGCAGATCGTTTACACTCGACTTGAGCCATTTCCAAGAATCAGTTCGCCAGCTGGCTGGCTGCCATTTGCCCAGTGGGCCGAGGTCAGAGTGCCATCATTTATCAAATTTAATTAGACTAGGTGCCGGGCGTGGTCTTGGCCCAGTCGTAGTCGCGTGCTCTGCCTTTTTCCTGGCGATTGCCTACGCCTTCAGTTGGCCCATTCGTTCAACTTTGCCCGGCTCGCGAAATTAAGGCAAATTAATGCAAGCAAAGTTGGTCGTTTTTGCTCACGTAGGCAAACTTGGCGACGTGAAGTTTATGGTTGCTAAATGTGCTTATTGAATTCGTACATCGCTATCTATGAATATTTAATATTGCTTTAATAAGAATGCCAAAAACTATTCCACTAATGAATTCCGATTACGTTTCGCTGCGCGGGAAAAATATTCAAAACATTTTATTGTATGGATATGTGGTATATTTTGGGCTTCGAATTAGAGGATTCCCGAATTAATTAATCATTCCGTTTGGCTTTGATCAGATTTTAGTAATTAATATGGTTTTATACTTGCTTGGAAAATGCACAGTGGAATTTATTATTCAATAGAAATTTAATAAGACTGGCTTTTTAAAATGGCAATCGAATGGTGCTTACTTATGAGGTTTTTTTGTTCGCAATTTCATAATAATATTTTCATTGAGCTGTTCTTGGCATTTTGTTCACCTAATGGTCTGTTAGTTTTAATTTGTAGCATGTAAGCCGGATGCGGACCACCCACCAAATGGTTGTCTACGGATTGGCATGGAAAACCCCCACAAAAACGCATGATGCAGCATCATGTTTCCCAGCTCAACTACACAGCTTGACAGTAAGCAGAGTGGGGAGCGTTCAAAGGACCTAATGGTCTGCTCGTGCCCACAGTTTGCTCCAAGGACAGTGGCCGTAAGTCCATTGGAGACACTGCATCCTGCTACCCCGGCTGTCGTTTTCGGTGTCAATTACATGTTGACATGCCAACAGCTGCCGATGCACAAGTGGATTCCCTGTAACCACTCATTCCGAGGAGCTGGTAGAACAAGACCGCTGCGGAATGTTTGGCGATTCATAACGTGTCTTGGCAGACAAGCGATAAACTTACTTCCCCAAGTAAGAAGTACATGAAAGGGTTTTTGCGAGGAGCATTTATCTCCATAGAGAATGACAGCTAACTATTAGCCATTCAAAGGCAGAGCAGCTAAATGCCTGCTGTTACTGTGTTAGTTAATATATTTATGTAATTCAAATCAATACATCTGTCAGCAGCTTAAACGTCGCTAGCACATCGCATCCAATTACCCATTTTAAATTATTTAAATGGCAAAATACTTGCCTTGCGTAATGTCTGGCTTGCCTCTTGAGGATTACCCACAAATTCAGAGCCCAGGCTCGTGGTCAAGTGTTGTAATAAATACATACTTATCGAGTCCGGCCGAAGGAGTTTGCCAATCGATACAAGTTGTAAGGATGCGAAAACATTGGAATGTGTGAGCAGGGGAAGTGGTGCACTTGATTATCCACTTGGATTTGCTTCCTGCAGCAGATGTGTGGTGGGCACTTGCCACTCGCCACTCGCCACTGCAGTTGCAAGTGCAGCAGCGGCAGCAGAAGCAGCCATTGTCTGCCACATGGACACTGGTCCATGGGAACTGGATGCTGTGAGGCATCGACATAATGGCCAGACGATAAGTGTGCTGGACAGGCGCAGCTTTGGCATTGTAAATAAATGACAATACATCCGGCTTCCGGCTTCCGGTTGTCGCTCGCTGTTGACCATTGTGTGTTAGGACAAAAATGGACATAAAATGCAATTGTTGTTGCTGCTGTTTGACCATGCATTAGTGCACATTTGCTGTGTATTCTGTTCACTTTTACTTATCGGCCAAGAAGTTATGGCCTGCCATACCAAACGCCTTGCCGCAACTGAAATCAAAGATTTGCATTTAATGGAGGGGTTTTTAATCTCGTTTCTTAAGAGTGTGGCACAAATGCTTGTGGCACGTTCTCTCTGCCAGCGCATCAGCACTTGCTCCCGTTACCACAGAATGTGGCAAATGGTGCGATGTGGGTCAAATGGTTTAGCTGGCCCAAAAGGTGAACCTGACAATGATGAGGGCACCACCAATCCAGGGGCACCAATTGAGTATCGCCAGAGGTGGCGTCACTTTTTGAGTTGGGAAATCTAGCTGATGTGACATTTCGATGGACTCGCTTGAACTTTTGCTGCACATAATACCAGCTTGCCAGGCTTATCCCAAAAAGGTGCCATTAAATGAAATGTAAGCCTCAGCGAAATTTAGCTCGAAATTCCATTTCGCAGAAAAGCTTTCACCTTTAAACCCGTCTTTATTTTCACTTCACTTTATTTTCTTCACTTTTAATTTCCGGCTAAAAGCATTTTCCTGTTAATATTTTGATTTGGTGTCCGTGATTAATTAAAAGCTAGGGCCAAATTCATAGATGCCCTCGGCGTTATTTCGCATTCAAACCCAATTTCTCCTTGATTGCGGCTGGCACTCATATAATTGACGTGGTAGACAGAATCAGTTTATTGCATTACGCCATACGCCCGCGGCCCAATAATATATGCCCAAAATAATATATACGACCCGCAAATGGAGAGCTCAACTTTAGCTGGTTTTGTTATATGTGTATACTCGTATACATCAAATTCCCGGCCCAAAACGGATTGATGGTGTTGCCATGGCTTGCATTCTGCAACAAAGTGCATTGCCAAAAAGTGTTTGCTGGGCTGCTCACTGCTCGCTGCTCGCTTTGTGAATCTTGGCTGCTGGCAAGGATTGGGCTTGGGATCGGCATAGAGATGGCCAAAATGGGGTCGTGGGATTCGCAGGGAGCCGCTGCTGAAAGCCCAATGCCGAAAAACGGAAAAACTGGTGCCAGCACAGAATGCAGAGCGTTGGGCTCTTGGAGGGAAAATCAAATTTCAGACATTTTAACATTTTTGTTGCTGGCCGGATTTTTTGAGGTCTCAAAGCCAGCATTGATGAAATTGCATTTTGATAATGGAGCAGAGCCAGCGAGGCTGCATCCTGCCACACTATATATGTACGTATAGTATAGTAGAGCAACTTATCGTGCTCATTCAATGTGGCAAGTGAAGCGAGAAAGCAGCAGCTCACGTTTTTTTTTGGGCGAAACTGGGTTGGGGCTGTCACAACACCTGAACCGGGCACAGTTTTACCTTAATAATTGAAGGCGAATGTTTGGCAAGTGCATATGAGACCCGAAAGTTGCCCGGTGGCCCCCACTTTTTTGTTTTTTCGACTTCGATTTCGCTTTTGCTTTCCAAAGGAAAAGTGTCTCGCATTGCACTTTTCCCTGATCACTTCTCTGTGTGCCTCATGTCTGCCTCATTGCGTTTCTTTGGCATTCACATGACTGAGCTTTTCACTTTCCCTCATTGTTCGGCCGAAAATGTATTTTGAAATTGAATAAAAGCGCTCATTTGTTTGGATCTTTAAGTCCTATCCTTGTACTCGGCTAGTCGCATGCAGATGGCGATGGCCGTTTGATAAGTCACGACTTTGTAATTAATGTCGCAGAAATGTTCGAGTGGATTTCGCCATCGAGTTCGTGACCAGCGTAGTTGATGATTTTAATGACGGCATGTTGAAAGGATTTATTCAGCTTACCAGATAAATATTAACGAGGGCAGCATAACACTGGTTGGGTATTCAAGGATAATGCGGCATATCCTTCAACACATTTGCATAACAAAATCCATTAAGTGATTTCTTGACTTGCCATTATTATGTTGTTACCCGAGAAGCCGAGCAATTGAGTTATGACAATAAAATTGTGAGTAATCGTGCCACATTCCCTAAGCTCTTCGTGGACCATCCGCCATTAAGGATACATGCACTACATCCTGCATCCAGCAAGGAGCACACATGATTTGAGGCAAATCATCATCTTCCCTCTCAAGATGAAGAGCCTGTCATCTTGCCCCCGAACACTTGAAATTTTCATAAATGGCTAAGGACGATGCCTGCAACCTGTCCGCACTCAAACACACACACAGCCACACACACACTGCCGCAGTGCACCCACACATGCCCACTGTTCAAAGTTGCCATTGCCACTCATGACGTCGTGGCTCGTTTACTTGGTTCGCCTCTGTCTATCTTCGTTTCTATACCCTTCAAGTGGGTGTTACGCGCTTCACATCGCAATAAACTCGAAATCAGTTGTTTCAGCAGCACATCTAAAAAATAAAATTCTAAAAAATAGCACACCTATGGATTTTGTACTAAAATTAATAGATGTCTTTTTTTTGCCCTCACTGAGTTTGATGGGTACTTCCTTATTCGATTCTGAAAGGTACTACTTCAATTCCGTTTTTCATTCTCTCTCCTTTTTGCAATGACAGTACTTTCCTGTCATTACCACTTTTTCTATTTTTTTGTTGTGCAACTTGCGTCTTTTAGTTTTTTGAGGTCTTTTTCGTCATTTTGCTGTCAGTCGCATGCAAAATTGAAATCATCAACGTCATCATCAGTTGCTGTCTGCTTGACTTGGATGGGTTTTGAGTTTCGGGGGTATAGTGAGTAGTGGGTAGTGGGCATGGGTATGGGTATGGGTTGTATGCTAAGGGTTGGCAGCACGGTTGTTCAAATCACAACTAAGCAGGAGAGATGATATAACTGGCTTAAGTGAAAGTAGCACACAGGCAGCGGAGGAACTTTTACCCGGCTGTCTCAAGATTATTGCTCTGCCCTACGTTCTTCGTGCTTTCCTTTGGGCCAACTTTGCCCCAACAACCAAATATAACATGCCGAGTTGCATTTGGACCGACGTGCTCGACAGACCATAGCCACGCCCACCAACGCCCCTGCCAATCTTTTTTATCCCCTTCGCATTTCATTTTTAAACTAGGCCAAATGCATAAATCTGTGCAACTGACTCACTGATAGGAAATTAAGTTTGCTGAAATTTCGGTGGCAAGTCACTTGGATTGCATAAGGAATTATGGGCATTACGCATGACATTTGAGATTCCATTTGACGCAGTAGCTCCTTTACCCGCATAGTGTTTGTGTCCCTGGTGATTATCCCCTCATTATCTGTATTAGCCACATTACTTAGCCCCACAACCCTTGCAGACGGGCACTTTGTGGCAGCGCCTAACATAATGTAACCCCTACCCTTTTGGGTGCCCAAGAGCTTTGTTGGGTTACTTGCCACACATAAGTGGCACAAATTATGCAGGGACAAGGACACGCTGCGATGTGCTAGGTGTCGTCTCATTTTAATAAGACAACAATACTTAATGGAAGGCACACAGAAAAATAGGCAGATAACATTAGTTATGAGAACGGTTTTAAGATCCTTGAGTACATATTTTAGATGCTCTCTAAAATAACCAAAAATGGTAGCTTATGGGAAATGCATTTGATGTTTTCTCTTTAGTATGGCCAAGCGGGTTAATAAATATTTAACAAGACTGTTTGCTACCTTAGAACTTCAATATCAGCGCGCCAGCCATGACTTACATATTGAATTTGGTTGTAAGCTACATTTTTTTTGCTGCGTGTGGTGGCAAGTGGCAGGTCCATTACAGCGGTCACCATCGCCGGACCTGTTACATAAAGTATGAGCTGCCAATGTGCAGTGCCAGCTGCAGATGTCCTGGAATTGCAGAATTGCAGCTATGTACGAACGGGCGATAAGCACGCAAAGTCGTTAAGTGCTGCGGAATGGCTTAGCCGGGTTTCACGACTCGGATTGTTGCACATCCTCCGTCCGCCCGGTGGTAGCACCATCACCTCCATCTCCATCTCCACCATCAGCAACACCAACAGCCCCAGCACTCGGCTCAATCGATTAAGCGGTTTAAGTGCCCCATAAGCTGCCTCGGCTGACTGCCTTCCGCTGCTCCTGTGCCCCAGGTCCTGGTCCTGCCACCGCTGCTCCTACTTTTGATCCTGCAGCACTGCTTTCTTGTGGCCTCCTGCTGGTGCGAACACGTGTTTTGTATTGCCTAGCCCCGGGCTAAATGCTGGTTGCATGCTGCATGCTGCACCACGCCAGGTGCCAGGTGGCAGGTGGCAGCTGCATTGTTGTTAGCTGCGGCCAAAGAATAACACTCGCACGCCGCACACCCCAGGGTAATTATTGAACATGTTTATTATTTGGCTAATGGGCCGCAAAGCACTGGTGTGTTGCCTACTTAGAAGGGCTCCACTTTTCAATTTACTCGTGAGTTTAAAAGGGCAGTTTATGTCCTTGCTGGCGAGCACGACCCGCTGACTATCACTGTGTGTGTGTGTTTGGTGTCCCCTGCTTATGTTGTCGTAAACTTTAATGCCAGCCATATGCTAAAATATATATGCATACGTGTATGGTTAAAACCAGCTTGTGGCTGTAACTCGGGTTGCAAGTACATTACGAAGTCGTTGTACGATGTGTTTTATGTTTATTTATTCGTGCCACAATGTCCCCTTGTTGAACTCACGATGTCGTCGTTAAAAGAGCATCAAAAGTGGCTTAGACCACAAAACTCCGATGCCCACAAAATGTGTGAGTGAAATATATAATTTCTTTACTGCATTCTCACCGAAATACCTACACATCAAAGTGGGCAAAGTTATTTTAGGGTTTGATTGAAATCTACTTCGGTCAGCAGGACTCCTATGATAACCTACTTATGACCTACTTATCATGATAGGCACTCAATTCGGCATGGCAAACATTATGCCATCAAAACAAAGGTCCCTTGTCCTTTTTAATCCTATTTTGCAAAACAGAATTAGGTCGTAAAAATGTTTATTTTTACCTATAAACTTCGGTGGCTTTGTGCGTGGTTACTTCAAGTTTATGGGTTTCCCAGACGATTACTAGTAAACGTCTTTAAAAACAAGTTGCCAATTTTTCATCTATCTATCTATTAAATTGTTAAATTTTCGTATTGAAATTAGCGAGCTAGAGTTTGAAAAAGTTTTTTATAAATCGTGCCGAATGAGAACATTTTATGAGAACGCTTTTCGTCACAAATAGATGACAGAAATTTGTATCGTTACTCGCTTTTTTACATGTTTAATATTTAGAAGATTAATTAATGATACATTTATATTAAATTGTAGCGCATTTATTAAGTAATCAATACTTGCGCATATGTAAAACAATTTAATATTAATGTCATCAGTCCTGCATATTTCTGGCATTAAAAACGCTTGCAATTCATTACTATAATGGTTATTAAACTGACAAATGCAATGAATTATTTACATATTGATAACGACATAAATCCCTCGCTTATGTCTATTAATATGTGCCATAAAGTCGACTTCTCGGGCCGATTATTTTTACTGATATTGATTGCGAAAGCCATAAGCAGTCACATATGTGCGCATGTAATTTAATGGCATTCATACGCCCTGTTGACCAGCAGAATTTCATGCAGTTGGACTCGGTTGATATTTAATTAAGCTGTCACAAATATGAATCCAACAGCCACAATTGCAAATAGTGATATTTTATTTCCCGCTGTTTTCTTTTTTTCCAGAAATATGTTAGTGAGCTGTCCACCGTTCGCGATTGTGCCACCGAGTGCGTGGAAAAAGGTGAGTGAAGGGGGCTTTTCAACTGACCAACTGCTAATTGAACTGCCTAATTTGGCATATTATTAGGCACATAAACGTTCGATTGTTAGCAACCGCAAGCTAAATTAGTTTTGAACTCAGCTAATTACGAAATGTATAATTCTGTTTTTTGTACACCAGAAATTTGGGAGACACAAACGTACTGCTGCACCGAGGACGGCTGCAATTCCGGCACCCAATTGGCCTACTCCGTCATCCTGTTGACCCTGCCACTCCTTTCGATGGCTTGGCCCACATTCGTTGATTTTTGGAATACGCGACGTTAAGTGGGATCTGAGGAGATGATCCAGCCCATCTTCGCTCGGTTCTTAGCTTGGTTTTGTATTATTTTGCAGCAAGTAAACAATGTATAAAATTTCAATCGTTAGCATTTATTTTATTTTCAAAAATATATGAAAAGCACACAAACAAAATTCTGTGAACGGGACCTAATCAAACTAAGATGCGATAACGCAAAGTTACACGAAATTTAACCATTTGAGCCTGTCTTTTTTTTGTAATTTCGGAGTATACACTTATATAAATATATATATTTTTTTTGCCAACATGTTTGCTGTTATTACTTTGAGGCTTTGTATTTCTGACTGTCTTCCCAAAAAAAAAAAAAAACTAAATGAAAACGCAGGGGTGTAGAAACACCCAGAAGCTTAACTAATTCATATTCACAAGAAAAACCAATTGCAATGCCAAATTACTACTAAAGTCGTGTTAAAAAATAAAAAAAAAACGCTAAAATATTATTTAAAATAAAGAGAAATAAAATTACATTTAAGATAATGCCAGCTGTCGAAAGTACATACAAAATCGCAATCATATTGAGGATTAAAAAACATCAATGAATTTCGCCGAGTTCGTATTGAATGCATTTCATGAACATACTAATTATAGTACACCTAAGGTTAAATATCGAAAGGTAGGAATTAAATACTTAGGATCCCGAATCCCGCGAGTTAGTTGTTTGTTTTTATAATTTGCATATAGGCCCACAAATATTACGCAAATGTCAAAGTCACAGTGAGTTTATTTTGGGGTCTGTGATTTTGCACTTTGGAACTGTAATATTTGCTGGAGATCTATTCATTCTATGTTACTTCATAGGCTAATAAAGGCTACGAAGCAAATGTTGTTTTTTTGTTTAAACAAAAAAAAAAAAAAACAAAGAAAACAAAACTAATGTTTGTTAAATGCAATTGTGAAAGTAAAGTTAAGGTCGTACGAATTATGATAGCAGCGAACACTAAAGAAAATCGAAGACGTTTTCACTCCACTGTTCATGAGATTCTAAATTAAATATTAAAACTAAAACAACGCAATGATTATACCAATTGATCTTCACGAATAAAGTACTTGTAGCAAAGTCTAGCTCAGATAGATACCATTCGGCATAACGTAGGTAAAGAACTAATTAATAGAATTACATAGATTTACCGAGCGTTTAGTGTACCCAAGTGAATTAACATGAAAGTTCTTAACGATTTTCTTATATAGAGCACTTACGCGATTCCATTTTTAATTATTTACAAATAATAATGTTTTCAAGGATTATTACTTATAAACGAAATATGATGAACAACTCATACGATATATAACTACGAATAAAACATAGAGTTTAGATCTAAGGGCTTTCACTATATTAAAGCAAACCAAATGTGTGAAATATGCAAAACGAGATGCGATTATACATATACAAATGTTAAATGTTAGTTCCTCGAAACCAAAGCAGCTTGTGTACTCGTATTTAATGCTCACATTTGAATAATTTGCATATGATTAAAAATTAACAAAATGAGTAAATCGGATTTTCATTTAATTATATTATACAAGTATAACCACAAATTTACTCGGACATTTTGCAAAATGAATTGTCGGGCGAACTGTCTGCTTTGGCCACATAAAATGCAATCATTTGATTTTACATTTTCATCGATTTACACAAAGCGAGAAAATTCCAATTGCAATTACAACACTAATAATAATTGTATGTATATGTATGGTATATGTATTTCCAATAAAAATTTTAATTTAAATTTTTAGTAATAAACTTCAATAAAACAAACAAAAAGTAGACCAATTTAGTTTCCTTTCCATTTCCCGAACAACAACTGAATTAATGAGCCCCATTGCTCAGGGGCCACTTCAACTGAAGGGACTTGAGCAACTGGAGCAAAGTGCCTCTGACAAACTGGAGCAAAAAAGAGTAATGGCCAAGTTAAGTCTTGGCTGAGAAATATTCGGCAGTTCAACAGGGCAATAAATATTTGTCTCCCCGGGAGTTTATTGCCTGAATTGGGGTCTTTGCTGTGCGCTGTTCAAAATCCCCCGAAAACTATGCGTCTATCTAACAAATTATTTATGGCTTGTATGCATTATATTCCAAATTATTAGGGCTGCCTAATACAGCTAGAAATGCTAGTATATAAATCAGAAGATTGTTATATATTATCAGAAAACGTTTGAATTTCTACTAACCTTCGTAAGAGACAACCAATATCTAAAAATATATTTCTTAGGACATATAATTTCACGTAAAACCCTATTTAAATTTAGAACTTTTAAGTCTAAAATCAAAATCTGTATTTTGGCTCGAGTTTCACCGATTGGCTGTTTGCTACGCAAATATATAAAAAATGTAGAATTTCATGTTTATTTAATTGCGCTTGATTTCAGCTAACAAATTCGCGTAGTAACAGTGAAATATTTATATTTAGCTCTGGTCTCTTAGGTGCCCTTCGTTGCCCATGCAAAAAATAAATAAAATAGAGAGTTGTGCTAATGTTTGTGCGCTCCAGCATCCGGTAATCCGGATAAGCCACGCATTTTACATATCGCTGCGACAAACAGAAGTTTTTTCCCTTTTTTTGCTTGTCAGCCAACGGGAGGCGTTGGGGCGAAGGGGCATGGTCGAATTCGCGATTGGGATGGCAGCGAGCTTAGGGCGCAGCTTAACGAACAAATTCGTGATGTAACAATTGAAAGCACAATGAATGCGCTGTGTGTCAGCAAGGATTTGGCGCAATTACGCGGCACAGCGAGTGAAAAAAAGAAGCGAGCCGGTCATAAATATCGAAATAAATGCAGCCTTGGTGCGCCTGTCAAATGGATTAATTTTGCTGGGGAAACTCGAAATGGCCGTGTGCTTCATTAGGCGTCCGCGTGGCTTCCGCTCCTTTGACTACTCAAGTACTCAATACTCTGAGGTATTCCGCAGGACAAGAGCACGGCCGAAGTCAAAGGAATAAAATCCGTTCAAGGATCTCTGGCCGTCCGCAGGATATTGGCATTATTCATCAGAGTGCCAGGATATAGAGCTCGTTGTCAGCGGCTTGAGAACTCAGTGGAGCATCCTCAGGATTCACTTTAGTTTAGTATGCAACTCAAGGTATCTGTTTCATTTTGGGTTGTAAATCCATTTAAGAACTTTCTTTAAACCTTTAAAGCTCTACTTTAAGTGTGTGGTAGATAATTGTATTCTTCGGATAGAACCAACAGACGTTAAACAATTTATTTGAACTTAACTCAGACTTTTGTAGAATTTATTGCAGCCCATATATGTGCATTTAAATCATAAGTTATATAAAACCCTAACGATGTGCAATAACTAAAATTGTGCAGGCCATGTTTGCTGTAAGTATTTGTTAATTCTTTTCATACTTCAACGTGGCTGAGAATGAAATAATGTTGACAATTTTCGCAAACACAATCAGCACCACTACAAGCGAACAAAAAGCAGCAAACACACCCACACAGCATTAATTTATGACACTTTGTGAGCCGGGCAAACAAACACAAGCATTTTTGTGGGCGTTGGCGTGTTGCCTGCAGACGTTGTCTGTTTTCAGTGTCCTTGAGGGCAACATAATAAATGCCAGGCTCCTCCAGCTGAATCCAGTCAAGCCGAAACCGAATTAAACCAATCTGAGGCCAGTCGGTGATGCCAAAGAAAACACAACCATAATGAATGCCTCTGCTGCCAAGAGCTTGTTGACCAACAAAATGCAATGCCATGCGAATGCCAAGTCAGTTAGCCACATGCGCTGGATTTCGACTTGTTCTCGCATTCGGGGCAACAGTCGAAAAGGCCAACTGCCATCAAAAATGAGCAGCTGGCCAAATGGATGGCGGCCAGCTGGTCAGTGCAGCACAACACATCCAATTAATGAACGCCATTTGGGGAACAGAAAACCTGGAGGCGATTTGCACTGCCACTTCCACTGACCAACGCAGAAGCATTCAAATGGCCAAAAGGAATCGAGAGCCAGATACATTTTTTGTTTTATCCCGCTACTCATTTTAATTGATAAATTATTGATTAGCGCAGCTCACTTAGGCAATGGCCATTACCATTTGGAGAATGGTTGGAAGGAGAAGGAAAGGCAAAAACAATTAAGTTTCTTTTGTGTGGCACGAAATCCTGAAGCCTTGGCGTACCAGTTGATGCAGCTGAAGTGTATGAAACAGCTGCCAATTCTCACCTCCAACGGAGGCACGGAGCATTTGGGCGGCCAATCCGATGGATGGATACGGACGATGGCCAGATGGGAGATGAGAAGTGGCTTTTAAGCAGCCTCCTGCTTAATTGCTTGTTGGCTTTCCACTGGGCCCTATCAATGTCAGTTGCAGGCGTGGCCAAGTCCGAAAGGCAAAAGTCGACGGCAGGCGGCTTTATCCTTTTCATGTCATTAACAACGAAAGGACAACGAACGGCTGCAGTTCGCGTGCTTAATCGCTCGATCTGGCGGTCTTGCTTTTGTTGTGCAATTCATATTTTAATTTAATTCATTTTCGCTATCCGCCTTCTTGTCTTATTCTTCGCGGCAATCCGTTGAGTTTCTCGCCTCGGCTGCTCTTAAGTGAAAATTGTTGCACACTTTAATCCAACGCCCAGTTGAAGCCGTAATAATTACAGTGCCATTAAGAGCATCATTTAAAGTGGCACTTGCAGTGCCAATTGAAGGCCAGCACCTTTGACCTTTTCGCTGGCCTACCATTTAGTTATTCAAACACATGCATTACGTATACGCACTGGTGACCCACCCACCAACCAACATTTGTCGCCATTCACAGGCCGCAAGTGGGTGGGCGCTTGGTCAGTACGGATGATATCAATTAGACAAGACCCATTAATGCCCAAACAAGCTGGGTGTCCTAGGAAACTGTTAATTAATCAAATCCTGACCAGCTCTCGTCGTGTGCCCACTCACATGATTCTTTTTGCGTTGATTAGGTCGCACTTGCTGCTACCATGATGATACAGTTCAGGGCGAAGGCTTGGGGAATTATTCCATGTAAACACTTTAATTATCATCCAAGAGAAGAGAAATGACGGGATGAAGAATGAAAGGAGCTTGGCAAATGAGTATAGCTTTAACTAAGCAGTTGAGAAGCCGAGGGGTGCAGCATCCCATTCAGCATCTTTAATCGATGGACGCATTCGGGGTCTAGTCAACCAGCACATCATCCGCTGTTTGAGGTCACAAATCCGCTCTTTGATGCCCGGCTGCGGCCTGCAGGTGATGATGACGATGATGAGGACAGCGAGATGTTGGACTTAACGCTGTTATGCCATCGCCATCGCCGTAGTCATCTACATTGCCATCGTTCTCTGGCCGGCGTGTCCAAAGTTTCATCCTGCGGACACTACATAAGGCCCGGAGCAAATCAAAAGCCAAAAGAACGATGCGGTGGTCAGGAGGTGGTGAGCCAGGGAAATGCTTTCAGCGAG